GCACGATAGACTTTTCTGATTAACCATCCAGGTTGTCATGGGCTGGAAATTTTTTCACTCTGTTTTTTTGTGCATTATTCTGCTCTAAAATTTGTTTAGAGCCATTTTTTACAGGTCTTAGAGGGGTTCGGGGGGGAGCTCAAGCAAGTGACTGCTTTTATTCCACCATCTTGGCTCCACCTCACAAATAATATTTTTTATTGTCTATTGTCACTAATACTCCTATTACTAATAGTAAATAGTATTTTAAAATTTCCGAAGAACACTGTTCTCCCCTTTAATTTGTTTTAAAAAAGAAAGATAAAAAGGAAAGTCTTAGTTTAGGAGGGTCCAGGGTCCTTGAAAAAGAATGAGGAAGAATGTTACTGCTGTTATTCAAAGTAGACATCCTAAAAATGGTATCACCAAATTATATGAAAAAAATATGTCATCATCATCATCATCACCATCATTATTATTAAATATACCAATTATATGTTTATATATTTATGTAATTTATTATATACTGATATTCAGCATATATTATAATATAATACATTATATATTTATATACAATTATATTATTATTATTAAATTATTACATGCAGAACGAATAACTGAAATTCAATTAATCTTTTGATGGATTCATAGTTGTGTAGTCATCTTTCAGTCAAGTCTGATGCTTCATGACCTCATTTGGGGTTTTCTTCATAAAAATACTTAAGTGGTTTTTCATTTCCTTCAGCAGCTAATTTTGCAGATGAGGACTAGAGGCAAAGTCAAATGACTTGCCCCAGGTCACACAATTAGTAAGTGTCTGAGGCATGATTTGAATTCATGAAGATCAGTCTTCTTGATTTCAGGTCCAGCCCTCTATCCATTCTGCTTCCTAACTGTACTCTGAATTCATTAGAGGTACATCAACTGATTTTCTAAACAAAAAGATTTCAGTGATGACAAATCAGACTTAAGTTAGTTCTTTTTCTTGATTCAGAGATTATAGTATATGAAGTATATGAAAATATACATAGTATACTTTTTTACTTTTCCCCCACTTTCAAATATTCATTCCACAGCAATTGAATGTGAATGAATTAATATTTGCTTACTCTATCTACTTTAAGACTGAGAAGCCATACTTATCAATTCAGATTATTCTGACCAATTTTTTTTCAACCTGCAAGGCCTTTACTTTTGTCACATATTAATTAAATATATTCTATTGTGAACATAGCACCGATAATTTGCATTTAGGAGATTTATTGTTCTTATAAGTTTAATCTAAAATGTCAGTTTATTTACTTGGTACTCAATGTGGTTTAGAGCAACCAATATTTACTTAGACAACATGTAATAAAATACTAAATAATCTACAAGTGATCCACTCTCAGTTATTGTTACTTTTTTAATGAATGAAAAGTCCTGTCAAGTTGCATAGCATGTTGAGCTCATGTTTATGTTTTATGTCAAGGTCAATAATTCTCAGGTCATTAAAAATATGTCTTTGAATGATTTTTTAATTTAATGTTTATATTTAGTTATGTATTTATGCAATTTCCAGTGTGAATATATCCTTAAAAGTGTAAAACTGATTATTTAAGTGACATAAATAAATATGAAATGTACAGAAACCTGTGAGTGAAAGGTTTATATTATCTTAGAACAGATTTTCAACATTGATCTTATGTGATTTTCTTTTGTGTTAAGTATTCTGAATCATATTCACTTTAAATGTCAATAGAAAAAAGCTTGGAGATATAATAAATGCTCACAGAAAAAAGTTTAAAGATTTAATAAATAGTCAAATAAAATAAATAACATAGAAGATGTAAACAGAGATTAGCAAGAAAAGGACACAAAATTTGCCTTTCTCTCACCATGTACAGAAAGAAACTGAGTTTTGTGCTTCCTAATTCCTAATTTAATTCCTTTTTCCTCCAAAGACTTTAGGGGATAAAATAAATTTGTGCTACTTTCATGTTGTCTCTAATAGTAATAGAGAATCATATAACTACTTTCTACCCCAACTCAGCTTAGAGAATAACAAATGTGACAATAGCAATAGAATACAGAATCATAAATGATCTAAATGCTTCATTTTCTTAGGCAATGAGGTAGCTCAGAGGACAGAGTTGTTATATCTGGAATCAAGAAGAACTGTGTTTAAATATGGCCTCAGATACATATTAGCTTTGTGGCCCTGGGTCAATCACTTAAACTCTGTCTACCTATGTTTCCATATTTATAAAATGAGCTTAATAACAGCCCCTACATCCAAACCTTATCGGGATAAAATAAAATAGTATTTGTAAAGCAATTTGGAAATCTTAAACTAAAATATAAATTCTATTAATTTCTAATCTGAGATGTTAAAGGGCCTGGTTGTCCAGGAAATGAACATTAAAGGTTAAAACTTGAGGCTTTTTTTTTAGCAATCCATTATGCATCTGCCATCCATAAATTAATATAGCCTTTATAAACCTATTTACGTTTATAGCCTTCACTACCTCTTGAAATAAAGTGTCATAAGTTTACTACATGTTGTAAAGCCACATATTCATGTGTTTATTTCTTAGCAGCATCATCACCAAGTGGACACACAAAAAAAAGTGAATACACCCTTAAACCCAGACAACAAAGAAAAATACACAGACAAATAGAATTGAATAATTGAATTTAAGCAGAAAAGGAGAGGGGATGAGCTACTTCAGATGCAATAGCAAGAACATGAAATAGAAACAAAACTGAGTAGAGAAGTGATCAGCATATCACAAGGGCCTAAAAATTATGTGAATTGTAAAAACATTCAAATAGAAAGGTAGTGAAAAGAAAGAAATGGAAAGAGGAAATGAGAGGTTAGTAGCTTAAAACTGTATTAAGATTGAGGGAAGAATTTTGTGGTCGTTGTCATTGTTTGTTTATGTCTTAATTTTCATTTTTTTTTTCTTATTTTTAGTTTGGTTTCCTTTGTCTGGCTCCAGTCCAAACTATGATAAAAGCAGGAGGACAATGAAGGTCTTCTATATTCACATAGATGTCTGAAATATCTGAAAGGTATGACCTAGAATGGAACTATCACCTCTGGATTGAAAGAGAGAAACACAATGTAATAAATCCATTTAGTGACACCAACAGGAAACTCTGCAAAAGGAAAGATTGAATTTAGAATACTTGCACCTCAAGATATTCTACACCTTGAGGGAAAAGTAGTCAGTGCCCATTGAGCCCATCTGGGTATCCTGTCTTTTCTCTACACTTATTCATGTTCCACTGAATGGTAGCTAAGTAAGTACTCTGCAGGAAGAATAGGAGAAAGCCCATTAAGTATTTACCATGTTCATTTTCCTCATCTTTCACAGAAATTATTTTATTATGTCTTGTCATAATAAACCTCATAGAAGACTATTAATCAGTTTTTGCATGTAGCAAATTAAATGAAGGTTAAAGGTGAAAGGATTATTTTTCCACAGAGGTTTGATTCATACAGACCATTCATCTCTGCTGCTTTAGAAACTGCATATAACTTTAAACAATCAATTTATGTAATGAAGAATAGTTCTGTTTCCTAAAATTATATCAATTTGAAAAGTTGAAAATCAATCTACTAAGGAAACAAGAATGACAAATGAGCAGATGAGTAATCTAAATGATAAAAATAGCATTATATTTTCTCTATTGGGCATTCATGTAAACATGTTCAATGAATTATTAACCAAAAAAAAGAAAGCTACAAAGAAGAATAAATTAAATTCACATTTATATTAAAATGTCATTGTGTTTGATAGCATTTTTATCTTTCATTAATTAAACATTATTTGCTGGGTTTGAAATGCCAGAAAATAAAATATTACATTCTTCAAGGTTAAAACTATAACAGCCTTTAAGTTTCATGAAATCCAGGCCCTGACTACTGCACTTTTGTCTTACCTTGTCTGGTCCCAGGAATACCTTGGTACTTCCCAGGCAGCTTTAATCCATGCATTTCAGCCTCTTCCTTAGAGGCAGTTTGCAACACTGTAGATGGAGTGCTGGGCCAGGAGTCAGGAAGACCTGAGTTCAAATCTGTTCTCAAAGATTTTCTAGCTGTATGATCCAGGAAAAGTCACTTGACCTCTTTTTGTCTCAGTTTCCTCAACTGTAAATGAATATAAGAATCACATATACCTTCCAGCGGTGTTGTTAGGAACAAATAAAATAATTATAAAAAGGATTCAGCACAATGCCTGACACATAGTAGATGCTATAAAAATATTTATTGCCTGTTTCTTTCTCTTTCTCCCCTTTAAACAAAATTCAAATTTGGCACTTAGGGATCTGATTGATGAACTTTAATTTTATCTAGCCTGGGCCCAGGTCTACCACATGATTTCTTAATCATTTCCAAGCCGTGTTACTGTGAACATACTCTCAACTACCATTTCTGACTCTGGATTTTCTACATATGCTGTCTTCCCATTTGAGAATTTAAGTTTCTTTGGGGCAGGAACCATTGTACTTGCTTGTATTTTTATCCCCAACAATTAATGAATCTCTTGACATATTCTAAGTATTTTTTTAAATCTGTATACCCATATGTTCATAGCTATATATGAACATATCGCATTTATATAGATAGCAACTTAAAATCTAAGAAACGCTTTTCTTAAAATAATAGTGTGAGGTTGGTCAGGTCTGTTTTGTAGATGAAAACATAAACTCAAAGGTTTTAAGTAACTTATCCATGAAGAAACCATAAACTTATATTATATTCTTTTGGTTTAATTTTAACTTAAATGTTAAATTTGACAAGATAGTCACCCTTGTCTTACCCCTTCTGCCTTCTATTTGACTTTTTTCTTTTTGTGTATGTGTATATTAATGCTGAAGTAAAAACCACATTCTGCAATATGCACCTTTTGTTTTGTTTTCTTCTGTTCAGTTTAAGATACTTCATTGATATTCTCTGTCTCTCTATCTCTCTGTGTGTGTCTCTCTCTGTCTTTCTGTCTTTTTCTGCCTCTGCTTCTCTCTACCCCCACAATAAAAAAATACGGATGACTGTGATTTTGTGTGTCATACTTGTGCACAAACTAGGCTAATCTTTTCTGTATTGCTCTTCTTTTAACTTATGGGTTAGCAAAGAGAACACCCAGTCTACTCTTGTAACTACATTTCTTGTGTGCTATGTTTAGAGAATATGCTATGAATACAGCATGCAATTTTTTTTATATTTTTATTTTGGCGTGGAGTCAAGATGGCAGAGGGAAAGCAGTGACTTGCTAGAGCTCTCTCCCAAACCCCTCCAAATACCTGCAAAAAATGGCTCTAAACAAATTCTAGAGCAGCAGAACCCCCCAAAAAAATAGAGTAAAACAAATTTCCAGCCCAAGACAACCTGGATGACTGATCGGAAAGGTATATAACGCCAGGCTGGGAGAGGAGCACAGTTCGGCATGGGTGTGCACACTGCAGCGAGCCTGGAGCAGGCCTCAAAGGACTGAATCGCGGGCAGCTGTGGCACTTTCCAGACTTCTCAACCAACAAACACCAAAGACAACTTAGATCAGTGGGAAAAGTATGCTACTGCTGTGAGAGAAGAAGCTAGATCTCAGCCTCCTTGAGGGCAGTGGCTGGCTTCTGAGCTTCTGGCCCACAGAGTGAGGGGGAATCGAGTGGTTGATCAGAGGGAGATTGCAAGTATCTCTTTGCCAGGGCTGAGGTAGGAATCTCTTGCTCTGCCCTTGCTTGGATCTGGGTCACAGTTCTGAGGGGTGGTTCTGGGGTGAGGAGCTGGTGGAGCTTGTTGTGGCAGTGGAGAGGAAACACCTAGCCCCTTATCATAGCACATTGGAAGAACTGACGCTTTTCAGGTCCCTAAAAGTATCTCTGAAAATGGCTGTACAAACCCCCAAAGCTTGGGACAGCACATTCTCCACATTGGAAACAGACTTTTACCTTAACAAAGAGTTTAAAACTCAAGTAATTGGTTGGGATCATGAGCAAGCAGCGCAAAAAGAGTTAGACTACATTATCTTACTTTAGTGACAAAGAAGATCAAAACATACAACCAGAAGAAGACAACAAAGTCATAGCTCCTATATCCAAAGCCTCCAAGAAAAATATGAATCAGTCCCAGGCTTTGGAAGAGCTCAAAAGGGCTTTTGAGAAGCAACTAAGAGAAGTAGAGGAAAAACTGGGAAGAGAAATGAGAGTGATGCAAGAAAATAATGAAAAACAAGTCAACAGCTTGCTAAAGGAGACTCCAAAAAAATACTGAAGAAAATAACACCTTAAAAAATAACCTAGCCCAAATGGCAAAAAAGGTCCAAAAAGCCAATGAAGAAAAGAAGGCCCTAAAGAGTAAAATTGGGCAAATGGAAAAGGAAGTCCAAAAGATTGCTGAAGAAAATACTTCCTTAAAAATTAGAATACAGCAGTTGGAAGCTAGTGACTTTATGAGAAATCAAGACACTGTAAAACAAATCCAAAAGAATGAAAAATTGGAAAACAATGTGAAATATCTCATTGGAAAAACAACTGACCTGGAAAATAGATCCAGGAGAGAGAATTTAAAAATTATTGGACTATCTGAAAGCCATGATCAAAAAAAGAGCTCGGACATCATCTTTCAAGAAATTATCAAGGAAAACTGCCCTGATATTTTAGAATCAGAGGGCAAAATAGAAATGGAAAGAATCCACTGATCTCCTCCTGAAAGAGATCCCCAAAGGAAAACTCCTAGGAATATTGTAGCCAAATTCCAGAGTTCCCAGGTCAAGGAGAAAATATTACAAGCAGCCAGAAAGAAACAATTCAAGTATTGTGGAAACACAATCAGGATAACACAAGATTTAGCTGCTTCTACATTAAGAGACTGCAGGGCATGGAATATAATATTCTAGAGGGTAAAGGAGATAGGATTACAACCAAGAATTACCTACCCAGCAAAAGTAAGTATAATTCGTCAGGGGAAAAAATGGTCATTCATTGAAATAGAGGACTTTCAAGCATTCTTGATGAAAAGACTAGAGCTGAATAGAAAATTTGACTTTCCAATATAATATTGAAGTGGAAAATGAAGAGGTAAACAGGAAAGAGAAATCATAAGAGACTTATTAAGGTTGAACTGTTACACTCCTGCATGGAAAGATGATATTTGTAACTCATGAGACCTTTGTCAGTATTAGGGTAGTTGGAGGGAAAAAATTATATGTATGTATAGATAGATAGATATATAGATAGATAGATAGATAGATAGATAGATAGATAGATAGATAGGTAGATAGATAGAGAGAGAGAGATAGATAGATAGATAGATAGATAGATAGATAGATAGATAGATAGGTAGATAGATAGATAGAGAGAGAGAGAGAGAGATAGATAGATAGATAGATAGATAGATAGATAGATAGATAGATAGATAGATAGATAAAGGGCACAGGGTGAGTTGAAGATGAAAGGGTCACATCTGGAGAATAAAATTAAGGTGTGAGAGAGGATTATACTGGGAGAAGGAGAAAGGAAAAGGTAGAACGTGGTAAATTATCTCAAAAAAAAAAACAGAAAAGAAAAGACTCTTTCAGTGGAGGGGAACCAGGGGAAAGTGAGAGGAAATGAATGAATCTTATTCTCATAGGATTTGACTTAAGGAGGGTATAACATACACACTCAATTGGGTATGGAAATCTGTCTTACCGTACAGGAAAATAGGATGGAAAAGGGACAAGAGAGTATGGGGATGATAGAGAGGAGGGCAAATTGGGAAATGGGGTAATCAGAAGCAAATACTTCTGAGGAGGGACAGGGTCAAAAGAAAGAATAGAATAAATGAGGGGTCAGGATAAGATTAAGGGAAATAGAGTTAGTTTTTCACAGCATGTGTACTGTGGAAGTGTTTTGTATAACTGCACAAGTACGGCCTATATTGAGTTGCTTGCCTTTTCAATGAGGGTGGGGTGGGGAGGGAGGAAGGGAGAAAATTTGGAACCCAAAGTTTAAAAAAATGCATGTGTAAAAAAAATGTTTTCACATACAACTGGGATATGAGAAATACAGGAAATGGGGTACAGAAATATATCCTGCCCTACAGGAAAATAGAAAGGGAAGCAGGGGAGAGATAGCAGGGAAAGCAGACTGGGGGAAGAGGTATTCAGAATGCATGCCATCTTGGGGTGGGGGGAGGGGAGAGATGGGGTGAAAATTTGGAACTCAAAATCTTGTGGAAGTAAATGCTTAAAACTAAAAATAAAAAAAAATTAATTAAAAAATAAAACAAAATAAATAATAAATATTTTTATTTTATTTTAATTTATGGAATAAAACAATAATTTCCATATCATAGTATACTAAAAATGTAAATGAAACTACAAATCTATTATGTACAATTTGCTATTCTTTAAAAATATATAATACAGTTATCAGTATTTTTTTATTTTTTTTTATTTCCTACCCCCACCCCAGAGTTGGCGAACATTAGACACAAATGCTGTGTGTATGTTTGTTTGTATACACACACACACATATATATACACACATAAGTGTAATGTAAAATCATTCTACACACACTCTATTCATCAGTTCTTTCTCTGTTTTTAGGTAAACAGGGCCAATATAATACAAATGATGATTTTACATAATTTTATATTCAATGCTATCCCAATTAAATTATCAAAATATTTTATTGAATTAGAAAAAAATAATAAAATTTAATTTCAAAGAATAAAAAGTCAAGAATATCAAAGGATCTAATAAAAATGTAATGGAAGGAATTTTATGAATACCAGATCTTAAACTATAAAACCATCTGGTACTAGCTAATAGAAAGGTAAATCAATGGGACAGAGTAGACACACCATTTATGGCACCAAACAAATAAAGTAACCATTCATTTAACAAGTGTAGAGACTTAAAAATTTGGGATAAAAATTCATTATTTGGTTAAAGTTGTTGGGAAAACTGGAATGCAATATAGTACAAGTTGGGCATAGATCAATATTTTATACCATTTACCAACATAAGGTCAAAATGAATACATAACCTAGATCTAAAGAAAAATATATGAAAAATTTAAAGAACACAGAACATATTACTTATCAGACTTATTCATAGGTGAACAATTTATGAATAAACAAGAAATGGAGACCAGGGTGAAGTATAAAATGGATAATTTGGATTACATTAAATTAAAAAAGTTCTTGTAAAAATAAAACAAAAGTAGCCAAGATCAAAAGTAAAGAAGAAAATTGGGGAAAAATTATAGACATCTTCTCAGATAAAGGTCTCATTCTCAAATATATGAAGAACTTTGTAAAATCCATGTGAATATGAGTCATTATCCAATTGATAAATGGTTAAACTATATGAACAGGCCATTTTTAGATGAAGAAATCAAAACAATTTATAGTCAATATTTATGCTTTTAGTTCCAATGCCAGCTCTTCCAATTCCTAACTGTATATCTTGTACAAGTTACAATCTCAGTTTGCTCATTTGTAAAATTAGCTGTTTGGACTATATGACCTCTATGGTACCCTCCAAATATAAATTTATGAAATCATGATTTCTCAAGTAAAATTATATGCAAATGCCTAACTGTGAAATAGTATGGTATTTTGAATATAAACATAAACAATACTTCAATTGGAAATACTTTCAAGTATCAGAATAGTAATAGCTTGCCTATCCAAGTTACTAAGTTTTGAATGAACTATCCACAAAAGATTGACTTATTTTTGTCATCCATCCATCCATCCATCCATCCATCCATCCATCAATTGATCTATCTGCCTATCAATCTATCTATCTATCTATCTATTTATCTATCTATCTATCTATCTATCTATCTACTTGTTTGCTTACTTGCTTACTAGCTTATTTACTCATTTGTTTATTTAGCCAGAGATAGTCACACTTTCTGCCAAGAATATAGAGAAGCTGCTGTCTGCATCAATGTGGTGACCTCTTCCAAAAGAAGTTTGAAATTATCATTCTTTAAATCAAAAGTGAAGCATCTTTGATGAATTATGGGATATTTCTGTGGTTACTCATAATAAAACATTTCAATTTTATGTTGTTATGTCAGTATGCCTCAGTATCAGTAACCAAAATAAAGATGCAGGTGAAGAGCTACATTTCATTTCTAAGATGAGT